TTTTTTTTTTGATAAGAACTTGTCATTAATCAATTGGATAAAACGATTACAGACGAAACAAGCCAAATAGCTTGAGACACAGTCTGGAATACTATCCAGAATACAACAAAGTTACAACTGTGACTTATCAATACAGGAGAACCCGACTACAAGTCAACTAACGCAATCAGCACTATAGCACCCCCGCACACAGTGACGAGCATTGTCTAAACTTCAAAGCTCTCGGAGGAGAGAGCGAATACACAAAAACACCAACCAAACCACACCAACTAAAAAGAGAAAAAACAACAAAACAAACAACCCAAACAAAACAAACTAAAACAGAAAAACAAACAAACATAACTATTTTACTTATTCATTACTCATTTTTTCCTGTTACTTAAAATTAAATATTTTAAGCTCAGCCAAACATGCTCTGGTCCACAATCCACACCGCCCGCCAGATTTCTCGGTTCGGATATCCATACCCGCAACAGGAAATAGGGTTTCTGCTTCTCTCTCTACACTCCAGTAAGTTCCAGTGTACTTGAAGCATATGCCATCTGTACATACATAGACACTGTTTACATAATATCATCTAGCTAATCTAAGGGAAGAAGAAGTGAAGAATAGAGAGGAAACTAATATATGGCGAAGACAAAACCAGGCAAGAAGGACCTCGATTCTTACGCTATCAAAGGCACCAACAAAATCGTCAGACGTATGAATCACTCTCTCTTTCTCTGAATCTTACTTTTTTCATATTTCTCATATTTAAATCACTACACAGTCAAGTGAATTCAGTCTTAATTTTCTTTACTTTCTTTTTACTTAATTTAGAGAGAGGAAGAGACCTATGATGCTATTGCATACCGTGAGATGAGTACTTTCTTTGAATAAAGCTATGTGCAGACAATATTTTACACAATGTTTTACACCCTCCTCACATGGAGGGGCCGACACATAATAAAATAATCGTGGCCGCCCTCCATGTGAGGGGGTGTAAAACATAGTGTATAAAATTGTGTGTACCCATAGCACCACCCACTTTCTTTTTGCCGCGTCTGGGGAGGGAGTATGGTGTTTTCGGTGGTGTGTAACAACCACTTTGGGCAAAAGTCATCCTTAAAATTGGGCTTGTAAGGGGAGGTGCCCAAAGTGCCTGTAAACCCACAAGGCAGCCGTTCAGGAGCGACGTGGGATACTATTAGATTGTTAAATGGGGTGGTCTGAGTTGGTTGCATTAATATTTGAGTTCCTAAAAAACAATGCAGCTTAAAGTGCTTATATACCCACAAGTCAGGCATTTTAGAAGCGACGTGGGATACAATTATATCATTAAGTGGGGTGGTTTGAGTAGGTTGCATACTTGCATTAACATTGAGTTCCTGAAAGAAAATGTCCAAAATGTTTATAATCCCACAATTCAGGCCTTTGACGAGCGACTTAGGATATAATTAGATCGTTACATGGGGTGGTTTGAGTAGGTTGCATTAATATTGAGTTCACGGAAGAAAATGCCTGGATAGACAAGCCCAAAGTGCTTATAAACCCAAAAGTCATGACTTTGACGAGCGATGTGGTATACAATTAGATTGTTACATGGGGGGTTTTGAGTAGGTGCATTAATATTGGAATTCCTGAAATTAATGCCCCAGTTAAACATTGCTGAATAATAAATTTTTTGTGTCGACAATTTGGTAAATTGCATTTAAAAAATGCATTGTTCATTCAGCCCTTGTTTGGTTTTGATAAATTCAATTTTTAGTAGATTTTGATAAAAGTTAATGAAATGTGCGGTTGAAAAGTTGTGGGTCACTTAAACATGTGGTTAACATTAATTTTTTTGATTTTTACTTAGATTTTTATCAATCTAAACCAAACAGTTAGTGCTTGTAATCACGAATCGTGTACTGGACCAAAGACTAATGGTTCTCGTTTGTCATGTGGTCTCTATACTATAAATTCGTATTCAGAATTTCAACATCATAATGCCAACAAAAAAAATGCTTTCTGCTCCAGCAGCGTACACATGTTTAGGTACAATCAGATCACCGTAGATGATAGCAAGAACAACTTTACGAGTGGCTGTTATGTATCATATTGATCTCAAATGAAACTCAATCGAGTATCCTCATCCCTCGCAATGTCCAAGCTTGATTTTGTTCCCATTCCAGTTTCTAATTCTTCCAGAGCGACTCAGCTCTGTGAGCATTATATGTAACTTATCGTTACATTTGCAAGAGGCATCAACAATGTTACAGATGGAACTTAAGGTTGGGAAACATTATATAGTGGAGTAACTTAGTTCTGATTGTGCAACTACTGCTAGTTGCAATCAGAGAGCGGCAGTGGACATAATGAACACTTGTCAAATGGTAATCATGTAAAAATAAAGCTCGCTAACCATTCCATTCACCTCTCATATTCCTTATTTCCTTTTCGAGATTCTTAGTAGATGGGTGTTTGACATCACAGAGCTTGACTGTCAAAAAATCTTAATACCAATGTAATTTGCTCTCTCCAGGATTTCCTCAGGCTTCATTAATGGTGATACAGATTTTCAAATTATAATTTTCTTTGCATGTGATTTTGGTAGAATTTGCAGAAATCTCAGCAGCTTCCATGTTATAATTCTCAATCGCTTTCATGAACCCTAGAAAATTACCTTTATTTTATGGATCATATCTGTTGTTTTATAAGTTAGCCCCTGAGCACTATTATTTTAGACTTGTAATAGTCATTGATTGTTCCTGACTTCCGCTTGACGTAACTTTCCCTTCAGTTTGTCACTGGTTCATTAGAGCGTCACAATACTCAACGATACTACAATGAAGTGAGCATGGATCCTTGTCTAAATGATTTAGAAAAACACGATTCTCCCTATTGTTAACCTTTTCATGCTATGAAATTTTTCAACAGTGAATGCATTAGACACACAACATCTTGTTAGTTTGCTTCTGAAACA